TAATGAGATGCTCATTCCTTTTTTTAAATAAGGTATTAGCAATTAAAAAATCATAAGCTAAACAAAAATCTAATATGGTCTTGTCACCTCCATTTGTTATTCCAAAACCATAATCATCAATGAAAGTGATAATTTGTTTAGCACTAGAAATATTAAGAATTTTAAAAGGCCCTCAAATGTCATAGTGAACAATTAAAAAAAAGGAGTGCCATATCGAAAACCACTTTGAGAAAAAACAATATGATGATGTTCAAGAATTTCATAAGTTTTAAAATAAACATTTTTTTTTTACATTCATGAAAAAGAAAGAGAATATAGGTTTTTACAATTTTGAAAGAGCAATGTCGTAGCTTATAATGATGCGCCCAGATGAATTATGTATTCATGATGGAAATTAATAAACATAAAAAGTTATTTATATCTTCAATAAAATATAGTCCATCCTTTTATCTAGTTTATCTAATCTTCTTCCCTATAATGAGATCCTAAAATACATAATGATTAAAAAAATTATCTTTCAATTATAATCTTTGATGATTTTATATGTTGATAAAAGATATACCATAAAATGAGGAACATGTAGTACATTGCAAAGAGAAAACATGGAAGAAATTAGAAAATTTTCATGACTTGCAAAAGTTTTTAGAAAACCATCGACAACTTTTATTTATCTATTGCTGGAAAAGATTTGATAATGATGGTTATGTGATTAATCAGTCCAAAATCTAGGATTCATATGTAAGAAGGATTATTTAAGACACTAAAAACATAAGAGTTGGAAGACATGCTATTTGGGGTTAGAGAGCATGATTAGGAAGACTTTTCCAAAGAGTTAGATTGAGCTATTCTGATTCTACAAGACATGCCTACCCTTTTTGTGACCTTCATTGTTTCCAATTTCCACCATAGCTAGTAGACTTTTCATGAAGCTTTTAGCATTTTTTTACTGTCATTTCTTTTAGCACTAATAACAACATAGCTTGCCTATGGAAAAAGGCTTTTGTCCTATTTAGGGAAAGAATTTTTTGCATCAAATCTCTTATCTAGGGTTCAATGATTGTCATGGAAGATATTTTGGAGACCAGATTGCAAAGTATTATCATCCTTCTTTGGCCTGTATGTAAGAGAATCTTATTAGATATAATACATTTTTCTTTCGTGAGGCGAGGCGTAAGCCTAAAAATCTAAAAATTACGTAAAATTAAAATAAAAGCTAAAAGTGTTTTTTTATATAATATCCAAATAATATGTTAAAGGATAACATATTAGCTTTCTATTAAACTATGAAGTAACACATTTACATATATATGAAATAAAAAATTATTTAAGATGTAAAGTGCTAAGTGATAAACTATGTAAAATAGAATTGAAATCCAAATATTATAGGAACAAAACAACATAAAATATATGAATTGCATAAAAGTATCATATAACATCAAGTTCAGCTCTAATTTTTTCTTTCTTAATTGCCTACTCATCTACATTTAATTACTAAAGAAAGATGAAATAATTAGCAACAACTCAGAAATAATTTATACTATCATTACTAAGAGGATTTTTATTTGAGTCACTGTTATAACAAATTGGTCTCTCCCTGCCTCATCTTGTAGGGTCCAATACCACTTAATCTGCATCTTCTTCATTTATTACAGTCACCTTTATCTTTCATAAATGTTTGTCATCAACATAAAGATAATACTCCAAAATTTTAAGAGATGGTGGTGGCATGCGGTTTTCTAGTGATTCCTTGCGGCAGTTAAAATGGTGGTGGCTACGGTGATGGCAGTGGGCTAGAGGTCGAGGCAATTGAGAGGAAGTTGTTGCAGCTTGGGGGTGCAAGAAGGCATGATTTTTTTTGGGCTTTTGTATAGGATTTAGGTAAGTTTTAAATAAAAAACATAAATAGAGTGAGGCGTACGCCTCATGCCAGTGAGGCGAGGCGCGCCTCAAGGCGGGCCACATCCAAGATGAAGCGTAAGCATCATAAAAAAAGCTCAAGACATAAGCCTCGAGGCATTTTTTACTAGAATTATGCTAAGAAGAGTCGCAAGGCAAGCCTCATATTAGCAATTTTAAACAATGACTTTGTCAATTATAAACATAATTTGGTTGGACATAACATGTTAAGGAAATATTTAATTTCCTAATTGGATGCATTGGTATTCAACAACAACATCAAGCCTTCATGCCTGGGGTTGGCTGCATGAAACTTTTTTCTCTATTGTGTCCTGTTAAAAATAGAACTCTCATTTAAATCTAATAAGGAAAGGTCATTTAAAAAAAAAATCTTCAAATATTCCTACTCCGCTAAAGTAACCTCATCCAAATATGCATTTTTATATTCTTTTTCTATAAAAATCTAATTTTAATTGTAACTTGAACATCCATAGTCTTATTGTGATTTGTTTATTTCAAATTGGATGTGGCTAAGACATATTATCGTATAATATTGTATTAACTCAACAAAAATTGGGACCATTGGAGGTGTACAAATAAACATTTGAATCATAAAAAACATGCCAAGCCAAGAGAAATAAGTTGTTCACTTAATATTTCTTTCATCCATCAACAAACAAATCGATTAAATTTAGCTTAACTTCAATTTTGAAAAATAAAGTAAAATAAAATCAAATCCATCTAGGCTATAGATGTAATTTTGAGGTGTAAAAATAGGCCTAACTTTTAGGTTGAAATATAAGTGCTTTAGATCCAGTAAGCCTCTTAAAACCAAGTAAACAAATTAATCCAAACCAAAACATATCATATAGGAAGTTTCCTCATGTACCCAGAAACTAAGAAAACCTAACAGTTCAATGCTGTTCAGATTCATACATTGCTAGCTTAGCTCATTGTACAAACCAAACCAAATACTGAACATCCTAGGCACCACTAAGACTAAACCCAAAGTAAACTCTCCTTCGCGTTTTGTCATTCAAGTAAAATCGATGTCAATTCTGCTACTGATGTGAAATGTTACTATTCAAAGAATGAATAAATAGTTGTGCATTTAAAGATAAAAGAAACACTCATATACCTTCGGATTGTAAAGGATGCAAAATTTGATGAGATGTGACAAAGAGGATGATGGGTGGTTTTCCAGTAAGGGAAGGAGGTTGAGTTTTCCATTCCCAGTTTTATTTCTTGTTTTACTCCCAACCACGCTCACTGTTTAATTCCATACTTTGGTTCCAAGTGATTTTTTTCCTTAAATTACAGATTTAATTTCCTGTCAGTTTTTTTTTTTTTTTAATTTCCTCAGTTATCATCATCATTAGGCTCTTCCAAACTATGACTTCTTAATGAATCACATTCTATTAATTCTGAAAAAACTTATAGTTTCAACAGCATTTCTGGATGAAAGATTTTACGTAAATATGGCTTGATTTGGAAAAATATGCGGCTGCTTTCCTTAAGAGCACGAATAACTAGTCTCTAGAAAGCTAATCAACATAAGAACATTAAAATAGATGGTGCGTTTGAGCCCTTAGCTAATCTAGCCTAGTTACTCAAGGGCAAGAACATAATGTTTAACATGACAACTCATGTTGGTATTGGCTATGAAGTGTGGTTTTGTATATGCTATATAGATTGCATCCAGTGTTGTTATCTTGAGCATCATCAGTAGAATAATTTCCTTGCCAATATAAGGACTATTTTTTGTTGGTTTATGTAGTCTGGAACTTATTGCAAAACTTTAACTGAAGCAGTACGCATCTTAATTTTTTGAAGCAATAGAAGAATCAAATGAATTAAATAAGGATTATTCAAAGCATTGCAGATAAGAAATGTATTGATATAATGGTTCTAAAAATTGATTTTCCAGATTAACTATAATAATTTTCTATGGTTGTTTTTGACATTTTTATGACAGCTTGTATAAAGCACTTCAACAACTAGATAAAACTAAATTCTGAGTCAGGTATAGTAGCCCAGCTATCATGCATAAATACGGACACGGCGACATGGATACGACATGACTTGGACACAGGACACGTCATTTATTAAAAATATAGGGCACGGACATAGGTTGGACACGGTATTATAATTTTTATATTTTAAAAATAGTGTATAAAAATTAAATAAATATAAGATTAAAAATAATTTAGAAATAATAAGTCATTTAACTAGAATTTATGTTTAAAATGATTAATATTAGAATGTCGATAGTCAGGCGTCGATGCCATGTATCAGGCATCAAGAGAGGAGAAAGAATGTTGTCGAAAGTCGGGTATCGATTTTATGCAGTAAGTGTTGGGTGTCGATGTCAAGAGGGAGTCTGTCGTCGATGTTGAGAGGACGTTGGTCGTCAATGTTAAGATGATGTCAGACAAAAAATGAGCTGTTAAGTTATGGGTGTAGAAATTGCTAGCGTCGAGCAACAATATCAAAATTGTGTCAGACTTTGATGTTGAGATGATTTTAAAATGCCGATGTCGTAACGAAGCCAGACATCGATATTGAGATGACATCAGGCACTATTTGAAACCAAAGTCGCGACCCACCAAAAAGAAATGAAAATGAGAAAAATCAATGAATGTGATATTGAATGTGGGCGATTGATTTGGTGTTGTGGATAGAAAATAAGAAATTGAGTTTTATATTTTAAATAAATAAAAAATTTAAATACAAGAAATTATATTTAAAAAATTTCATAAAATATTTAAAACACGCGTGTCTAATTTATATTTAATATTTTTAATCGGACACATCTTTGGTGTGTAAGACACGTGTCGGCTGTGCGTCATGTCGGATGCCACACGGCTCTTTGAGGAAAATTGTCAGTGAATCATAATAGCCTAGTCAGTAATCCTACCAAATAGAAACAACAATTTTAATAACAGTACTTTTCACCACAATTTTTTCAGCAATAGGTTCTCACCCAACTTTTCAAACAATAGGCATACCAAATTAATCTTAAGACATAACAAAATGAGCAATCCAGGCCTGCAACGGTAATCTAAAATCCACGTTCACATACTTATGGTGAATAAAGGATTAAATTTCTGCAGCACAACTCAATTTCTAGGGTACTTGAGGTGACGAAGGAGACAACTAATACAACTTATAATGTTGACTAAACCATCAGTGCAAGGTGATACTAATGGATCAAAAATGTGTCCAAATGACACAAAAAGGAACAGATGATACTGCAATATAAAATACAAGAAACTGCAGTATGTCAAAATGCCTGGGCATACGCTGACAGTTGTTAATAAGCAAGAAATCACACCTTGTTGCCATACTTCTAGGCTGTCATCAGTGACGGTAGGTATAACTTGATCACTTGAAGTCAAGAGATCTGCTTCAGGGAAACGGGCAAGATATGGAAGTGGATTCTGCTCAAAGCATGAATAATCCAAGAGAACACCAGCTGAATATAGTAAGAAAAAGAAATCTAATACCAAAAAAATTAATAAATATAAATGATGCAAAACCTCAAGAAATACAAGCATTATAGGAACCAATAGTTTATGCCCCAAAAGATAACATGAAACTTTTACTATAAAAACTGGTGTGCTTGAAAATTAAGAGATCTAAAATTCAAATTAAATTAAGCGGATTTAACCACTTGAGTGAGTGGACGAATGTAAATCTTGAATGACAAGACATTAGATGACTAAAAAAAGGTGTGCAGACTAATTAATATATAGCCACATTCTATTAAAAAGAAATAAATATTCAATATACCGATAGTTTATTGCTTCCAAACTATGAAAATAGATAACTAAAATCAAGACTTTAGTATTGACAAGAGAATGATGAATATAATTCTCTCATTTTCTTTATTTATGATAGCATTGATCAGGTCATCTATGTACAACTAGGTTGAACATAACATTTTCTTATTTTTAAGCTGATCAAAACATCTAGATGTACCAAAATAGAAAGTAACATTTAGTTACTTTATATACAATTATTAACTGAATTAAAAAAAGTTGAATTCAATTCCCACCTTCATGATTTCTTTTCAATACTTGTGAACCCAATTCCGTATGGCATAATGTTGAGATGCAAAGTAGTATGAAATAGCATGTTATATTGCCAATAAAAAAGAAAGGATGCTAGCATTTAGCTTTAATGCAATCAAAACGGTCAAAATATTTTCAAGGTACTGCACTGTTATGCATATCCTTTCGTTGAATATGAAGGCTTCCTCTAGTAGAGTGTCTACGCAACACAACCCAAGCTGAACTCAAAGGTATATAACATATTCATGATGTTTATAGCAACTGTGCGCAGAGAATTAACACCTTGTACTCAAACAAGCAAGTTTGGTCAACCAGAAGATGTTCAGGAGGCTAGAAAGGTATCTTTTGAGAATAAAATTTGATGCCCAACCATTAAGTGAAAATTATGTAGTGTTTCATGGTCTTAAATTCCAGTGAAAATTTTATTTTTAGTTAATGTTGTACAAGAATGTCTCGAAAAAAGAAAAAAAATTCACAAGTGTTGAACCAACGTCACGGCGCTCAAACGATCAGTGTTACAATGTCTACAACACCCCGACACTAGATCAGGACATCGCAACGCCATAGCCTCAAAAAATATCAATTAATTCAACGCCCCGAAAAAACAAAGGTCAGCGCTATTGCGCTTCATAATGCCACAACGCCAAAAATCAGCATCGCAATGCCGGAGTCTTGGGAATTTGAGCGTCAGAGCACCGAATTGCACAACGTTGTAGATCTAGATTACACATTCAAGCGCTGCAGTGCTCAACTTTTGGACCATCACAAGGGAGCAGCTGACGAAATACGGAGCTGCAACAAATCAACCAAACAACTCGCCAAATCATTCTGGCGCCGCAGCAACGCCTACTTAGCAGCGTCGAGACACTAATTCATATTGTAACGTCGCAACCCCACATGTCGAGCGCTGCAATGTTTAAGTTCATTTATGTACTTAATATAAATAGTTTTTCAATCTTTATGTGAGGGGGTTCTATCATTTCAGTGAGTTATGAATGCTGAGTGTAGTGCAAACCTTAGAGTTAAATCTAAGAGGGACCAGAGCAGAGAAAGATATGGCAATTGGAGTGGTTACCCTACCTTATTATGAAAAAGCAAGCAATTAAAGAAGATAAAAGTGTGGAGAATGAAGTTGTACTATCCTGGTGATAAATATTTACACTTTTCTCCTTATACTTTCTTTGTGAAACAATCAATGAAATTTGTTTTGTTTTATTTTAATTACATGGTTAACTAAAACTCCTAGTTTTGTTCTAATGATATGAAGCCTTAGTAATTACTAATATAGACTCTTATAATTTTGGATGTTTTCAATATACCGCTCATTCTTAATTTAATATATACGATGGTCATGTGCAGAATTAAAATATAGTGTGACATATAACCTCGATGGGGCAATGTTGGAACAATTAGGAATATTGAAATGGAACTCTTACATGGCTAAACATAGGATGTTTAGTGTTCTAAAACTTATGGAGAAATAATAATTATAGGAGGGTAATAAACATTCCTTCACTTCCTTACAAGCTTGATAGAGATCTAAGAATGCATAAGTTCTGATTCACAACCAACATAGGAGAGTCTAGTTAGGAAAATTTTGAAAATTCACTGTCATTAATCCAAAACAATTTATCTACTAGTATCTTATCTTTCTTCTGCATTCTTAGTCAATACAGAATTCAAACCTGATTTTTGTTGTGTAGGATAAACATTGAAGCTTAAATAGGCAGTACTAGAAAATTTTTATTGTAGCATAACACTTCCTCGTGGAATCGACACTCTCTTATATCACTTTTATTACTAAATCGACACGTGCACTTACTTAATTTAGTGGGCAATTATATAAAAAAAAAAATCAAACATATTATCTGCCCACCCATCACCAATGCATGAAATCTTCTCAAGTATATCAATTTCCTGCCTAGCTCATACTTTCTCATCTTGCAGATGTAGCTATATAGAGAACTTGAATATTTTAAAGTATTATATCTTGAACCTAATTCATTTTCAGTTAGCAGATAGTTTCAGATAGCCAATTAAGATACAAAGATTGCTATCATCATGCTAAACATACGTTTTTAACTAGAATAAGGTATCTCCCTTAGGTTTTTCCTAGAATGAACCTAAGTCCTCAATGATATGACAAGATTTGAACCTTGGGCTTGTTGAATAGAAAAGGTTTAATTGGACCTACCTTTGAGGAGATTAAAACTAAATCAGTTTCCAGGAAAAAATTGCCATAAGCTCGGAATGAGAGTAATGCCTCAGCAAATAGTATCAAGGCATGTGCGAATGTTAGGAAGACTAAGTAAAGAAAACCTACAAAACAGAGATAACATATACCTTTAACCAAACCATATCAGTATCGCACACTAGCAACTCGTAGCCAAAAGGCAAAAGTGCGTTTATCAAAAAAACCTTTTCTCTTCCCATTTTATGAAATGTTGGTGACCCCCAACCAACATCAATTGTATTCATATTACTGCCCATGTCGAAAACAGGCACACCTTTCCAATACAAAGCAACCAACAGCTTGGTATCCATTGCACCTGTAACGTCAGAAAGCTCCTACTTAATAACAGGGTAGACCTTTAATCAAAGATATCAATAGAACCAAGTAAGAGATTTCACCTACAAGAAGGTTGAAGACATTCAGATCTGTCAGATGCCTCACCCAATTTAAGATAAAGTCCATGAAAGCATAGTTCCCAAATGTTACAATTATAACATTATCTTTAGCCCGATATCCCACCATCTCCCTGGTGAGCCTGAAGGACGCTAATTCCGGAATCTTCGAATCTGGAGAAGGCAGATCCCATATAGCTCTTGTCAGGAAGTTTTCTACAGTAGCATCAGAAGATATATTGACACTGGTAGATTGGTTCTGAAGGCCGATAACATCTACCTCTGTTAAACATCAACAATTAGCATAAATCACACTGAAGAAGTGATTCGAAGAGGAGAAATGGTTTTAATTGAGTAATTACGAGGTCGAGGGAGGGAAGACGATGGGGAGAGCCACGATCCAACGGTGAACAGTGATTTTTTGTTGTCGCTGTTGGACGCAGAGTAGAGGGAGGAGACGATGAAGAGGGTGGAAAAGAGGACTCCAACAAAGACTGTTACATAGACCGCCATGAAGAGCGGCTTTCCGGAGGAGAACTCTTGGAATGGACTGCACGCAGCCATGCCTAAATCGATTAGTTGAACGGAGCACAACCAGCACTAGACATGAAGAGAAGAGAAACCCTATTTCACCATCTGAGAAATCCACCAGATCCCCATAGAGAGGAGGAGACCAAATATACAGAATGCCTTTCGCCAAGATGCTTGTCGGGGCGATTTGACTTTTTTGTTTTACGCACATAAAATATAGGAGTACCGTTCGATTCCGTCGATAAGAGGAGCACGCGACGCTGCCATTGCTGAGCACGTTGGGTTATTTTTTTTTTTTTTTTTTTTTTTTTTTTTGGTTTTTTTTTTTTTTAGCGATAATAATGTCCCAGCTGAACAACAGAAGGCGAGGAATCGCCTGAGGAAAAACTTAGGAGTCTCTCGGGATGAGAAATTTTCTTAGGGTTTCTTGGCTGACCTAGGCTAGGCTAGGCTATTCTTCGCTTGGGTTTTTTTTTTTTTCTTCTATCTTCTTTGTGAATTTTTTAGCGATTTTATTATTTGAGTAGAGCTATTTTATTTTTCTTATGTTGTTTGATGTATTCTTTTTCTGATTTTTCTCCTCTAAAATCAGATTTGCATTCTTGTCTCTTTTAGGTTTTTCTCTATCTGGAGTGAAAGCTTGGAATGATTTATTGACATATCGTCCAAACTTTTTTCTGTTTATTTTGTTTATTCTTCTGATAATCTTGCTTCTTTCCCTGAAGGTGACGTCTCTGTCGCAATTGAAAAATGGGGCATAACGTTAGTAGGTTACTTGTTGGGTAAGAAATTTTACTTTGAAGCTTTAAAATCTATCATGCAAAAGGTTTGGAAAATGAAATGTGGTTTTATTCTGCTTGCTTTGAATGAGGGTTTTTTCCTGATGAATTTTTTTCTTGTCTGGAATATTACGATCTTGTTTGGTCGGGTGGCCCTTGGTTTTTCTTTGGAAAACCATTTATTATCCAGAAATTGAAAGTTCGTTAGGGATGTTAAGCCCTATGAACCGGCTCAAGGCTAACCAAGAGGGTGGTGAATTGGTATTTTAAAAAATTCTTTAAAACGAAGAACAAATATCACAAACCAAAGTCACCACAGAAAACAAGTGCGGAAAATTAAAGTGTTGAAGTAGCAAAAAGAACACAAGGGTTTATAGTGGTTCGGTCAACTTGACCTACGTCTACTCCCCGGAGACGTCCTCCGAGTATTGCACTACCAACATGACTCTCATTTAGCCTCCACAGCTAGGCGGAGAAGCCCTTACAAAACACCTCCTTTTTGCCACCCCCGGCAAGGCAAAGAACCCCACTCCTTTTGCTTCCTCCTGAAGCAGGCAGAGAATCTCGATCGATCACTGAAGCTTACCTCTCCCAACCCTTCCAAGGACAAGAGACTCTAGGGAAGAAGAAGTGGAACAATGTTTGGAGCAACCCTTGTGAACTCCCTCACAAGCTCCCCCTCAGAAGATCCTCTCTCTCTCTCTCTCCCTTTCTCTATCTCTCCTTTAGGTTTTCTCAGGTCAAGACAACAGCCAAGGATGTTAAAAAATATTGAACAATAGCTCTTAAATAGAAGAGCTTCAAAGGAGTTCAATAAATGCAAGTTGCCGACTCTATCGTCCAGGACGATAATAATATCGTCATCTACGATCAGTTCAAAACACAGATGATCGGCCAGAACACCGCTCTAAAAATGAACTGGACGATTAAAAATTGGCTTGATCGTCCCGGCCGATCTCGCGATCGTCCTGGATGATCAGTTCAAATCAGAGAAAATCGTCTAGAGCATCGCCATGAATTCGAGCTGTCCGATCTTGATCGGCCAGAACATCGCCCTGAATTTATGATGGCCGATATTTATCATCCAGGAGCAATTAAGGATTTTTGAGTATATCATCTCGGCCGATCCTGAGATCGTCTAGGATGATGTGATCGTATCAATCATCCTTAATTGCTTCCTTGATTATCGGATAAATTTAGGCATAATTGTGCCAGATCGTCCAGGCCGATCTCACTATCGTCCTGGCCAATGTCCAAAAATACATAATACATAAATTGATTATGGCGGCAATTTTTTTCTCTTTTGAGCCTATCATCCTGGCCGATACACGTATCATCCGGGACGATCGGCTAATTACGGCTGCCTTAACTAAGAAATCCTAATTAGAGCTTCTGTTTTGAACTCAATCATCCAGGACGATATAAATATCATCCGGGATGATGTGAGTAAAAATAGAAATTATGAATCTCTCAAGTGTGAGTGTGTGTGTAGGGTTACTTAACATCAGTCACTTCAAACATTTACAATTGACTCAAGAAGGGAAAAAGAAAATTACAGACTGACTCAACCCTAATCTATCCAGTCTTGAGCTGATTCCGTTTTCCGTTCGATCTTTGAATCCTGAAAATGTCAGTAGTAAAAGGCAGTCGAAAAGAAGCAAGAGTGTTTGCTAATCATCAAAACATAATCCATAAAACCAAATTTGTAACAATCTCCTCCTTTTTGATGATGGCAAACACTTTGATAATTATTTCAAAAATAGTAATGTATAATATGTAATCAAAAGTGCAAGCACAAACTAAAGCAACAAGCATAATCAATCAGGTATAAACTAGCAAGTACAAACATATTACTCCCCCTTTTGATATCTCAAAAAGGAGGAGGGAACTAAAAAGTAACTAAAGTAGAAAAAGTATAAAAAGAAGGAAAAACAAACATAAGCATCTACAGGAAACATAATCTAAGACTAGAAAAATGAGGGTCCCTGATCATCAGACGGTGGTGGTGGTAGTGGTGGCTGAAAGAAACTGGTCATGACAGCAAACTGTGAGCCAAACCAGGACATGTCCTAGTCGTGTTGTTGCTGCTGGTGTGCAGCAAAGGTATCGAAACGGGCTATAACTTCATTGTGTTGCTGTTGCTGGTGAGCTACAAAAGTGTTGAATCGGGTCTCCAACTAATCAAATCTTTCTACCAACTGATCAAACTGTGAGTGATGGCTGAGAGAAGCAGGTTCATGAACGGGAGCGGGAGCCTCCTCCTCCTCAGCCCCTTGAGGTTCCTCATCCCCTGGGTGGAGACGAGTACTGTGAAGGATATTGAAAGAGTTGTTCGAGTAGAAGAGAGTTGGGAGGTTGGGAGGAGTAGGATATTGAAGTTGATATTTGGTTTCAAGAACATAAGCTATGAGGTGTCCTAAAGCTAGGTTGGGTTTCCTCTTATGGCATGGGTCGCAGATTGTTTTCAAATGATCAATGTATCAAAAAATCAAGTCAGTGGCATTAAACTCTCTACGGGCCATGATGAGTAGTGATGTGGACTCGGTCCCTAGCTTTTGGAATAATGGAAGTGCGAAGGACATACTGGATTATCCTAGCATCTTTGACTAAAGAGCTAGTATTTTCAACATGAAAGGGTGCGTTGGTCTGGTGAATAAAATGATTTGCCGAGGTCCAGTTAAAATCAGGATCTGAGATGATGGTATGCAGCTTATCCCTGGTGGTGGATAGCTGCAACAGTTCAGCACAGTCCTGATATGTGATTTCGACCGGGCGTCGATTCAAATAGGAGGTCAGGGCTGTGTAAGCAGAATTTATATGAAGATTTGCAAAAAATTCATGAAGAAAATCAGAATTGAAGGAGACAACGAGAGTAAGAATGAAGCATAGAGAGGTGGGTTAAAGGTCTAATACCGGGTATGAGAGGTGGACAGGATTGATAGTTCTTGAGAGAGTAATCCCACACTCTTTTATACCGATGGTAAGCAGCTTCATCTTCTGCCTCCCTAAAATGAGGGTCAATCGTAGCCCTTAAAGAGCTCTCGGAAGTTTGTCGGACTCGCTTTCCACCAGCTATAGCAAAAAAACAGTAAGCAAATAAGAGAGAAAAAGCTTGAGGTAAGAAACAATGGCTAGAAGGCCTGAATTTAAAGAAATTGCCACATCGTCCAGGACGATCGTAGAATCGTCCAGGACGATATGGTGCAATTATTGCGTACAGGCCGATTGGTCAAAAAGGCGGTCCGATCGTCTGAGCCGATCAGATATCGGCCAGGACGATTACATACAGGCGATCGTCCCGAGGAGTCAAGCTGGACGACTGTTGAAAAAGCAGATCGTCCGAGCCGATTAGGTGTATCGTCTAGGACGATGCTCAATAATTGATCGTACCGGCCGAATTTAAAATATTTTAAATCTGTGCTACGTGTATCATCCAGAACGAATAGTGGATCGGCCGGGACGATTGCCCAATAATGGATCGTCCATGACAGATTTTAAGAATTTTAAATGTACTGACACGTGGATCGTCCAGGACGATCTAGTGTATCGGTCAGGATGATTTACATAAACGCATCGGCCACGACGAACATGTATCAGCCAAGACGATCAAGATGATTATTTGCAGAGAAAGATCATATCGTTCAGAACAAAATATAGTTCGGCCAGGACAATGTTTGTACCTAGCTTAGAAAAGTTCAGAAGATGGAATTTTGAAAAGAAATTATCATATCATCCAGGACGATAGATATCGACCAGGACGATGTGAAAAGAAATTGGAAATCAAGGAAAGATGGAGATGATCAGAGAAAGCCCCAAAAATAAATATAATAAAAAGTTAAAAACAACAACAAAAAATAAAAACTAGCAAAGGAAAAACAAAATTTTTGTTTTTAATTTTTTTTTTAGCAAAGCATCCATATGAAAAATTTTGCAAAATATTAAATTTTAGAGATTCAAAAGATCAATGAGTTAATAATGTCATAATCTGAAAACGGTAGAATATCTGATCTTGTTAATCCCTTGCTTGAACTTCTTTCATGGTAAAAATTGTCTTTTGAAAACAAAAGGCTTAACTCAGAATAACTTAATTGGGTAAAAAGAAGATCGATTTAAAACTTGGTTACAACAAAAATATCTCCTAGATAATATACCAAAATAATTTGTCTCAATCATGGAATTTGAAATCAAGCCTTTGAAAATATCAAATAACCCATGAGTTCTTCTAAGTTTTAAAAGTTTTGAAAAGAGAGGATAGCTTGCATTTAGTGGGCTCATTTTATGTCTCTTGTCACTTTGATTTGTTCTTTGAGCATTTTTTTTTATTTTTGATACACTTTTGTGTATACTCTTTTTATTTCAATTTGGCATCTTTGTCACTTTCCCCCTTTTTTTTTGCAAGCTAAATTCTCTTTTACAATCTCTTAAAAATGATTCTTAGTTGTGAGTATATCTTCTAGATATTAGAGAATAGGAGCTCTATCTCTAACATAGGAAAGAACTAGTCACAAAACATAATCAAAATCAAATGATATGTGCAATGGCAAGATTTCAATTAACTTGAAAGATATATAAAAACTTTGGATATTATATAGGATAGATTATTGTAGCAAGATAAAAAAGGATTTTAATTTTAAAAATCATTTGTTAAAATGAGATAGACTTTTATTTTAGAGAAGAAAATTATACCTACTAAAAGAGG